AAAACAGAAGCAGGGGTAGTCTTTGCACATCGGGGTGGCAGCTCCCAGGGGGGTTTCTGTGATCCAACCCGTCACAATACCGACCTAACCCCAAATATAAACAGCACTATGTTGATGGGAAAACTTCTCCTGTGGCCATAGCTACTGCCTCTGAGGTAGGTGAATTAACTACACCAACGGGAGAATCTTTCCTGTTAGCATAGTAGCATCATCAGTAAAGCACTACAGCGGCACAGCTGCACCACTGCTGTGCTATACATGAAGACAAGCTCTAAGACCGGAAGGGATCACTGTGATCATCTAGTCTGACCTCCTGCATAACACAAGCTAGAGAACATCTCTGAATTTATTCCTGTTTGACCGAGAAAAAGATCTAATCTTGATTTTAAAAACAGCCTGTGATGGAGAATTGTTAAGTTTTCCCAATAATTAATTACCCTCAGTGTTATAAATGTGTGCCTTATTTCAAGTCTGAATTTGTCAGCTTCAACTTCTAGCCACTGGATCTTGTTATACCTTTGTTTGCTAGACTGAAGAACCCATTATCAAATTTGTGTTCCTCATGTAGGTACTTATAGAATGATCAAGTCACCCCTTTACCTTCTCTTTGTTAAGGTAAATTGATTGAGCTTCTGGAATCTCTCACTATAAGACATGTTTGCTAATCATTTACTCATTCTTGGGGCTCTTCTCTGAATTCTTTCCAATTTACCAATTTCCTTCTTGGTTGACACCAGAAATGGACACAGACTTCCAGCAGTAGTAGCACTAGTGCACTGTCTGGCCACTAGCTTCAAGCAAATGAATCCCTCAGCCCTGGCTCTCACCCCCTTTCTTCCCCTGTGCAGTGACCTATGGGGAGTAGAGTGACCAGACAGCAAGTGTGAAAAATCGGGACGGGGTGGGGAGTCATAGGCACCTATATAAGATAAAGTCCCAAATATCGGGACTGTCCCTATAAAATTGGGACATCTGGTCACCCTATTGGGGAGATAGGGCATAGGTGCTGGAACTAGGGGTGCTGCTGCACCCGCTGGTGTGAAGTGGTTTCCATCATATACAGGGTTTACGGTTTGGTTCGATGGCTCTTAGCACCCCCACATACAAACTGTACCCCTAGGGCCAGGGCCGGCTCCAGGGTTTTTTGCCGCCCCAAGCAGCAAAAAGGAAAAAAAAAAAGCCACGATCGCGATCTGCTCTACCGCCGCCTCTTCAGTCTTCGGCGGCAATTCGGTGGCGGGTCCTTTGCTGTGAGAGGGAGCGAGGGACCCACCACCGAATTGCCGCCAAAGAGCTGGACGTGCCGCCCCAAGCACCTGCTTGCTGGGCTGGTGCCGGGAGCTGGCCCTGGAGAGGGCAATTCCCACCCACCTCACAGGTGGCGTTCACATGCTCCCTGCACACATCCAAGCCAGCAGGGTTTGTGAAGGGCTCCAGGGCTGCGACCCACATAGGGTGACCAGACAGCAAGTGTGAAAAATCGGGACAGGGGCTGGGGTGGAGGGGGGGTGTTATAGGAGCCTATATAAGAAAAAGACCCCAAAATCGGGACTGTCCCTATAAAACCAGGACATCTGGTCACGCTAGACCCACACCGCAGTCACCCCTGGGCAGGGAGGGGCTGTGGTCTGGGTGAGCACCCTGCCCAGGGCTGAGAGCGGGCGGGGGAGGCTGGGGACGCACCAGAGCGGCACCCAAATCCCTCTGAGATTTAATGTGCAAACGTCCGGCACTACAACTCCCAGCAGGCAAAGCGAGTTTGTCCCGGATGCGCCGCAGCGATGGGGCCGATGTGGAATTGACTAGCGCTGCCATATTTGTGTGGGGCGCGCCGCCGCCTTCCCCGCAGCAGCGGCCATCTTTGTGCGGGGCGCTTTTCGCCCTCCGCTCTCCCGACTTCTTTTTTTACTTGAATAAGCCGGCCGGCGGCCCGGTGGAAGGGCCGGCTGGGGACGCGCACGCGCAGTGAGTGGGCGGCGACTGCCCGCCGGGCTGCACAATGGAGCTGCTGGTGGCGTGGACGCTGCGGGTGGCTGCCTTGTCCCAGCTGGTCCTCAGCCCGGGGAGCAGCGCCGCAGGTGAGAGCTGCGATCGGGACGGGGGTCCCTCCCAGCAGCACCAACTCCCCCGCCCCCCCGCATTGGGGAGCGGGGTATTTCCCCCAGAGCCCCGGGACCCGTCCTGCTTTGCCCGCTGCCGCCTCTGGCTCTCAGTCGTTCTGCCCCAGCTGTGCTACGTGCTCTTCCTCTCCCGGATCGTGCCTCCCCTGCCCGGGGCTCGGGCTTCTTCTCCGCCCCGGGCCCCTGCATCTCTGCTCCCATCTCCTCCTGCAGGCGGGTCCCGTGTGGGCTCTTCTGCTCGCCTAGGTGCCGCTTTTGAGGCTGCCCCTTCCGTTTGCATCAGCCTCCTGCTGGTCACTGTGCAAGCTCCCTCCGCCTCCTCGCAGCACTCCGTGACCCACCCATCCTGCTCAGATGCTCTCTGCCGCGTAGCCCCCCGGCCCTGCACTGCCGCCTGCCCCTAGAATGAGGAACGTACTTCTGGGGTAGGAAACGTGCTGCTAGGGCTGTACACATTGGCCCCCGTGGGACAGGTCTTGCCTGTCTTGAGATGGGGGTGTGGTTGGGTGAGGATAGGTTGGTGTATGCGGTGCGTACAGCACAGGCAGGCAGAGGGCTGCGAGGGTCGGCCGTGTCCCAATGGTGCACTTAGCTAGTCTCAAGATACATATTAGAACAGAGGTGCCCAGGAGGCAGTGGAAGGGGTACTCCAGAGACAGCCTTGTTTCTGTATGCTCACTATTAGTCAGGCTTAGCATCCCTAGTTTTCCTGCACCTCTCATACCTGCCTTGGCTTTTTCAGAGATCTTATTAAGTACTTCCTGATCGTGTAAAATCACAATCGTGTTGCTCTAAACAAACTTGTCACTAAAGAAGAATTCAAACCAGGGTTTCTAGAAACAGTTCTTTTGCTGGTGGAAAGAGGAGACTGGTTACCTCTGTTATTTAATTAGAATGGAAGGTCTTTGGGACAGGGACTGTCATTTACTGTGTTATGTATATGGCACCCATCATGAATCTGTCTCTGGGTCTTTCTATAATACAAAAAAAGTATTATGTATAGAGCCTCTGCACAGCACCAGAAGTCTCCCAAAATACTTTTGCAAACTATATATAAATCAATCACTTCACCCACTGCTGAAGGGCAGTCACCTAAGGTGGAATATGGCAGTTTTCAGCAGCACAATAACACTAAGGGAGAGTTTACGACAGGAAGTACATGCTACTATATCCAAATGAAGCAACTCTCCACTCTGGGGTCTGATTTATTAGTATAAAGTAGTTTAACTTAAAGCCAGAGACTTCTCCAGGCTCAGCACTTCATGATGCCTCTCCTGGACTCCTATTTCCCTCTTAAGAGTTTTGCTGCTGTTCTTTATTGCAAGTAGCTCCAACCAGCTGGTATAAAGAGCTTCTTCTCTGACCCTGGGTTTACTCTGGATCCACCCACAGGAGCCTCCTTGTAGGTCTGTATCTACTCTTTACCCTTGTATCAGGCCTCAGCTCCCCAGACTTTTCTAAGCAGGGTACCTCTGCCAGCCAACCCACTTTAGGCTTCTTTGAAAAGACCTACCCTGACTCCTGCTCTCTCATTCCTGAGAAAGCAGGATCCCTCTTATATGAAGCCTCACCCCCAGGCTACCATCCTGTGATGCCTGACCACATGACCCAACCACCAGCCAAATCCATACTCATCACCTGGGAGGTGGAAAACTAGGCACAGGTTGGGATGAGCCTCACTCCCCTTAAAAGGCTAGCCCACTTAGTGACAGAGGTATTTTATAATAGGAGAGTAGCCCAGCTAGTGCAGAGTGCTGCTTCTTGAGATGGCTCTATGCATATTTACCAGTTGCTTAGAAGTAGTACTGGTAACGTACAGCACCTACATCACACATGTCCCTTTATCTAGATGTTTGGTTAAGTAAGGACAATGCCTCGACAAGAATCCAAGATTTGGTCTCTGGTACCTAGGAGAGTAAGGGGCAGATGTTACTGAGGTTTCTCTCTGCCCCTCTCAGAAGCAGGGGAAAATCAAAGGAGAGCTGATTCACAGATTCCAAGGCCAGAAGGGACCATTGTGATCATCTAGTCTGACCTCCTATAAAGCACAGGCCATAGAACTTCTCCAAAATAATTCCTAAAGCAGATCTTTTAGAACAACATCCAATCTTGATTTAAAAATTGTCAGTGTTGGAGAATCCACCATGACCCTTGGTAAATTGTTCCAGTGGTTATTTTCTCTCACCCTTAAAAATTGATGTCTTATTTCCAGTCTGAATTTGTCTATCTTCAGTTTCTAGCCATTGGATCATGTTATAACTAGGTAGCATGTGCAAGTAAAAATACTTTCCTTTAAACCACAGGTTCAAATCCAGCTCTCTCTAGCAGTGACCAGAGTCATTGCTACCTAATGCCTGTTCAGTGGCTTATGTGAATTGAGTCTGTTATTTCAGTCTGGATTGAGGAATACACATTAAAAGAACCACTGTCACCTCTGGCACCCCCTTGCTGACAGTTTCAATGGAGAAGTCATGAATTGAATAAACATGGACATTCAACTCCCTCTCACACCTAGAGGCAGCACCACCATGCAGTGTGTTAGACACATGGATAAGAGTAGTACAGAAGTGGTCTGTGGTGTTCGACACACACCATTGCTGTCATCATACCAGCTGGCTTTCATGGCCTGGAAGACCCATTCATCTCCTGGTAGCTGCTGTGATAATATAATGGATGTACTATATATATTAAGTCTTTTTCTTCTTTCTTTCTTCCAGGTACAAAATGGAAACATTTCATCAACCAGATTGACAGAGCAGTGGAGGGCTACAGACCATGTATAAGGGAGAATTGCAGTTGCTACCAAAGGTGAGGGCATGTTTTCCTGGTTGCTTGAGGGGCCCTCTGGCACTAGAGAGAAAATACTCTTGCCATGCACTGATAGGTGGGTGTAACTGTGAAGTGGCTGAGAGCTAAGCTATCATACCCTCAACCAAGGAGGGAAAACTAGTATTAAAGGAAACACTATTGATGGCCTTCTAAAAAAATTAGTTGGTGGTTCTTGCTGTTTCCTAGAGGAGGGACGTTCACACACAAAAGCTACCTTCCTGATTGTTCTCCTTGTTAGCAGCATCAGCAGTAAAGCAGGTGACTAACTAGACCATAGTCTACTCTAAACGCTTCCTTTTCCCTCCTGCTGATGGCCCCTCCAGAGCAGGATTGCATCACTGGCTTCCTGTGCTTTAACAATCCTGTGGATAAGGGCTTTAGTCTCTGCCCATGTTTATCTGATACCTCTAAACAGCACCACGCTTTTAAATGAAGACAGTGGTGGGAAGAGAAGGAAGAATCAAAATGTGCAGCCTGCACAGTGGAGTACTTGGAAGACAAGAAAGCCATCAGAGTAAAGTTAGGAAACATGAGAACTGGGAATGTAATATCTTCCCTAATGTGTCTAATGAAAGATGGTGTCTCTTCTTTCTCAGTGTTAGGGAGCAGGACTTGGCTCCCTTTCAAGGAGGCATCTCCAAGGAGCTGCTGTCTGATGTGGTTAGCCGGAAGCTTGGGACGCACTACCAGATCATCAAGAACAAGTTGTACCGTGAGCATGACTGCATGTTCCCTGCTAGGTGAGAGCAATGTAGAAAATCTCATCCATTCCACAGGGAAATAAAAAATTACTCCAGAACCAGCCATGTGACCACTTACTGAGCAGAAGAGTGTTTGACAGGTCTCAATCCCACTGTGTGAGGGAAGATCCTGATGAAGCGTGCACTGGATTGAAATCTACGCACTGCAATTAGTTGGACCAGGGGTTAGAAGAGGTTAGAGTCCCAGAGAAGGCTGGCTTAAATTTTTGTGGGGAGTAAGGTTGTCTGAAAGGGATAATTTTCATTGTTGCCTGGCTCAAGGTTGGGTTGAGGGTCAGAGAGGGCTAGTGACTGTACCCAAGCTACCTTTATAGTGTGGGAAGATAATTTAGTGCTCTTTTGTTCAATGGAGTGAGAGGATCCAGAGGGAAGATTCTTATCCATTTTCCCTGCATTTACACCCTCTATCATAGTAACATTCCTTTAGTGGAAAGGGTTGGATGCAGATGCCTTCACGGTCCATCAGTGCTGCTCCTCAATTAACCAGGAGGGTTTACTGCAAAGCAGGGTGGGTGAAAATCTTGGTTAAAAAAAATCAGAAATATATTTTTTCTTTTAAATTATGATTTTTTAAAAAAATGGTCTTTTTATAATGCATTGCTGGTTTTTTACTTTCTTCCTATTTAATGGCCTTTAATCACTAAAATGGGTTTTTTGTAATTGTTTCTTTAATTCATTTCTTAACTGTTAGTTGGATTTCAGATTTTACATAGTTATTTTTTTCTGCTAAGGAGGTTCCACGATTAAAATGCTCATCTGTGCTGAAAAAAAACCATGTGTAGGGCCTCAGTAACATTCTCACAACCTAAAAGTCAAGAAAGCTTGAAATACTTTGACCAAACTATACTCCTTCATTAGGGGTTTGCTATTTTGAAGTAACTGGGACGTGCTCTCCAAGTTGCTTAGGTGCTTTTGAAAATCCCACCAGTAGGTACATAAATCTAGGTACCGGCTCTATTTTTGTAACTTTTCACTTATGTGTATTAAAAAGTTCACAATAAGTTTGCTAATACACCTCTACCCCAATATAACGCTGTCCTCGGGAGCCAAAAAATCTTATTGTTTTATAGGTGAAACCGCGTTATATTGAACTTGCTTTGATCCACCCGAGTGCGCAGCCCTGCCCCCCCCCGGGAGCGCTGCTTTACCACGTTATATCCGAATTCATGTTATATCGGGTCGCGTTATATCAGGGTAGAGGTGTATATTGAAAGTATAAATAACTTTTCATTGGTAACATAGTGTCAAAATCTTTGTCACTTCAATACAAAATTGCTTCTAAGAGAAGTTTTTAATGGAAATACAGTTTTAGCTTCAGAGACTGCAAACTTCTATGCATGTGCTTAACTTCAAGCATCTGAGTAATGGAAGTCAGTGCGACTATTTGTGTGACTAAAGTTTCTAAAGTTCTATGCCCAAGTTTTTGCAGGCTAAGAGCCTCCATTTTCAATATTTTGAGGTTTTTTCCATATAGCAATTTTGTACAATTAAAATCCCCTAGCAGTAACAGCATTTTTAAAAACCCAGCATTTATTATCTAGTTCATTGTACATATTTATGTAAATTTGCAGTAGCACACATTTTCAAATTAGTTTTACAGAATCTCAACCTGATTTAAATAGTTTGTTTTAAAAAAATAAAATGCATATGCTTTAAATCAGTTAATTACATTGTCTTAATTGAAATCACTTCACCCTGCTACAAAGTGACCTGAGATGCTTGCTCCTGGCCCTTGCCAACCTAGAAAGTAACAGATGAGGGGTCCTTCCCTGCTTATGTGCTTAAGAGTAAAGGATTGACCTAGGAATTGAACTGCAGTGTCTTCTGCTAGTGCACAGCCCACTGACTGAATCTTCCCACTTGGGGAGAAATCACTTTAACAGTGTTATCTTGTTCTCTTCTGATCTGTTGCATTATGTTTGTGGCTTCCTCAGTCACTCATTAGATGAAGAACTCCTCTGCGATGGACGTGAATGTTAAATAAGGGTTATCCCGTTAAATTTCCTATGGTTGGGTTAGGTCAGTCCTTGGATGGGAAATTCTAGTAAAAGCCCAGGTTCTTCAGCAAATGGTATTGATGATTTGGTTGGTTCCATGCCACTTTTGAGTCACCAAAGGGAGCCAGCTCCAGCTGGGTGTCTCGCTTGAAATGGGCTCTTTCAAACGAGACATAAAACTAAGATTTTGACCACTTATCATCATAAACAATCCCAGGGCAGTTTTTTCTGCCAGAGTAGGAATGTTTACCCTGCATGATTATAATTACATTCTGCCACTCTAGATTCCCTAGGCAGTTTCATTTGGATGTGTTAGTCTTGATTTCCTATCCTAGCAGCTGAGTAGTGGTGTGCACTCTGAAACCGTTATTATGTTGCCTCCCTGAATTTCAACAGTGGGTAGAGTGATTGCTGTGTCTGTTGTCTACAGATTGTACACTTTGTTGAGTGCTTCTGGGGAGTTTGGATGAAAGATACTATGTAAATGTCTATTATTAAGGCCCTACATAACTTGCAATATTGTGGAAATTGCGAATTCCGCAATATTAGGCTTCCACCGTAGTTTTGACAGTGGGAGCTACACCGTATGTGGGGCTGACGGCAGGAGCCCCTGCTCTCAGCCCCGGGTGGCTGACAGTGGAAAATCGCAGAAAAATAATATTACTTTTCTGCAATTTTCCATGGCTTGTCCACAACTCAGCCGCAATTTTTTGACAATCATCCCGTGATTCAAGTCGGGCCTTATCTATAATACATATAGAAAAACCCACGCAGTAGGCAGTAGTACCACTTGACAGAAGAGTCTCAACAGTTCATGGAGAAGATGAAAGCATTAATTACCTCACTGTCTTTGTTTCTAACTAGTCCCAAACCTGGCTATCTCATACTTCAGCGTTTGTGTCCTCCAGCTTTGTTCTCCCTTGTAGCTTTTCTTTTCCACCTTCTTCAGCTCTGCCCCTTCAGAAGAGTAACTAGTGGGGGAAGCAAAGGCCTGGTGACACCAAGCCTTTTGCTCATGGCTTTTCATTGTATGTCAATTCTCTGCAGATGTAATGGGGTCGAACATTTCATTCTGGAGATCATCGGCCGCCTCCCGGACATGGAGATGGTGATCAATGTGCGAGATTACCCCCAGGTCCCCAAGTGGATGAAGCCAGTCATCCCGGTATTCTCCTTCAGCAAGGTGAGAGTCCGCAGGCACCTTTGTGATAGTGGGGGACACTGTGACCTGCATTTCATCCTCTAGTTCACTGCAGTCACAAGAGTAAGAAGCTATAAATTCCTTTCCTAATGGGACACAGGAATTTTTAAGTGAGTGGGGGTTCTACCACAATGTAATTTCTTTTTCCAATGCCCAAAGACTCTGAGTCAAAATTACCCTTTTCTTTCAGATACAAAACCTGGAGTTGTTTGCTCTTCATATATATAGACTTTCTCCTTCTAGCTTTCCAGTGCAAAGAATTAGAAATTTGTTGAAGGGAATGACCCCCTCACAAGCTCATGCTCCAGATAAGTGTCTCATCTGTCCAACAGTGGGGTGATGCATACCACCACTGGTTTTAGTGCCATTCTCCCTGTGGTTCATTATCAGCTTTAGATCTTTGATAAAGTTATAGTTTGATTTTTGAGATCATTGTTAAGGGAGCGGGCTTGTGGCCTCACTAAAAACTCAGTTGACCATCATATAGTTGCTTTGAGTTAATTTGCATATTATAATCCTCTCGGTTGATAGGCCAGAAAAGTAATGGTAACTTTTTCTCATAGTTATGAGCTCACACCAGTGAACTGTAGCCTCAGGATTACATCACAGCTGTGAAAAATTATGGAAGTTTATTGAAGTTCCTTCTTTATTTCAAGGGGAATGTGGCCAATGGAACCAGCTGCTCAGATACCAGTTGGGGGTGTAGTACAAATGCCTCTACAGAGCCATTGGGAAGTGCTGATAGACCATTGGATGCTCAATTGCGATAACTTCACTGGCCAAATGGCCCTTAAGTGGCATCGCTTAAGGGATTATGTCCTTACGGTGACTTGTAGGATGATTCCTAGGAAGTCTGATGTGGATTAAAGAGAAGCCATGAGCAGCCTCGATGGCAAAGTGTTGCAGAAAATGGTCATAACAGTACTGCCTATTTTATGACCAATAATAACATTTGTAGCTATACATAATTCATATCTTTTTAAAAAGGTAATCAAAGCCATGCTTCAGGGTATTCACTGATCATGCTAGTGGTCAGGAAGAATATTTTTTCTCCGTGTAGAGCATTGCACAACTAATCTGGTGCATTATGGGTTTCTCTTCCCCTTCCTCTGTAGCATCTGGTATTAGCCATGGTCCAAGGCAGGATACTGGGTTTGACTGTCCAACAAATCACATAGCACCTCTTTCCCCTTCACATACATACACTCACAAAACCAGACTCTTTATTTGTTAGGCATGTGGCCTCTCAGTACTACAAGGACGGCACTGCTACGTTGTCAGAGAGGTGGGCGGTAAGTGAGGGCAATACACTGAGAAACAGAATCTAAGCTTGGTTCTGCTCCCCTGGATAAACCTGCAATCCATGCTCTGCATGTGTGAGGGTATTTGATTGAAACATTTCCCCCAAGTAAAATGTTACAGATTGTTAGAAACCGGAAGGCGGCCAGGCAAATCACAAGAATGGCTTGTTTAACACCAGCTGGGCAGGAAGCTTATGTTCAGGCTAGTTACAAGGAATTGTCCCTATCATGTGTACTGACTAAATACCTTTGTGTGTTTATTTTGTTTGTTTTTTAAACAAAACCCAGTTGCTCCTCTTCTTAACAGTGAGGGTGAAACTTGGTTAAATGCATGGCCACTCGTGTACCTGCTGATTTTCTTGTTTTTAAGACTTCCGAGTACCATGATATCATGTATCCTGCCTGGACGTTTTGGGAAGGGGGACCAGCTGTTTGGCCAATTTACCCGACAGGTCTTGGGCGCTGGGACTTAATGAGAGAGGACCTCCGAAGGTATGTTTCAGGAGAGAGGAGTTTTTTTCATAGACAAAAACCAGCTCAGCATAACTATGCAAGAGAACCTCCTAGCATTGATGCAACGTGGCGACAATAACTTCTAAGCCTGTTAGGTCTATTTGCCTGAAGCCAAATCACCTTGTGCTCAGGGGACTGTTTTTACACAGGAGAAGAAACAGGACTTCTCTAAGACAATAGCTCTCCACCTTTCCAGATTACTTTACCCTCTTTGGGAGTCTGATTTGTCTTGCGTACCACCAAGTTTCACCACACTTAAAAACTACTTGCTTACAAATTATTTACTTTCTCATTTTTACCATGTAATTATAAAATAAATCAATTGGAATATAAATACTGTACTTACATTTCAGTGTACAGTATATAGAGCAGTATAAACAAGTCCATGTCTGTATGAAATTTTAGTTTGCACTGACTTCGCTAATGCTTTTTATGTAGCCTGTTGTAAAACTAGGAAAATATCTAGATGAGTTGCTGTACCCCCTGAAAGACCTCTGTGTGCCCCCAGGGGCACACGTACTGCTAGTTGAGAACCACTGATCTAAGGGAATGTTTGAACTGCAATTAAAAGCCCATGGCTGGCCTGTGCTAGCTGACTCAGGCTTGTGGGACGCGGGCTGTAGGGCTGTTTAATTGCAGTATAGACATCCCTGCGAGGTTCCCAGTACTCGTGCTGCAGCCCGAGCCAGAATGTTTACACTGCAGTTAAACAGCCCCACAGCCCCAACCACATGAGCCTGAGTCGGCTGGCATGAGCCAGCTGTGGGTGTCTGATTGTAGCGTAGGCATACCCTAAGGCAGTGGTCTCCAAACTTTTTCGATCGCGCACTCCTATCAGTAAAATAATTTTGAGCACGCACCCCCTGCCGCGCCGGCTCTACCATTTTTGCCAAAGCAAAAAAAAAAAATAAAAAGCTGCTCGGACTCCCACCCGAACTGCCGAAGCAAAAAAAAACCAAACAAAAAAACCTTCTGCCACACACCCCCAAGGATCCTCTTGTGCACCCCACTTTGGAGACCACTGCCCTAGGGAACCAGAGTCACTGACTAGTAAGACAGGAGAAGTTTGTGAGAGGGTATTTTTCATTTGGCCATGATATTCTTTTGTCAGTCTAAGGGTTGGTCTCCCTCAGAGAGCAGCACTTAGGCCTGGTCTACACTACAGTTAGGTCAACGTAAGGCAGCTTATGTCGACCTAACTCTGTAAGCGTCCACACTAAAATGTCAGTCCCACCGATGTAACTCGCCCACTACACCAACTTAACTGCACCTCTGTAAGAGGTGTTATGCTTAGGTCGATGTAGTTAGGTCGACACAGGGTCAATGTAGACACTGCGTTGCTTGCATCAACCTTTGCTGCCTTTCAGAAGCAGTCCCACAATGCCCCACACTGGCAGTTAAATCGGTGCAAGCGCTCCTGGTGAGGACACGCACCGCTGACGCAAGGAGCGTAGTGTGGACCTGCAAAAGTGATTTAATTACTGCAGTGGCTGTATGTCGACATAACCTAGGTCAACTTCATTTTGCAGTGTAGACTTGCCCTTAGGCTATGGGAAGGTGAGCAAATATAGGAATGCTGTGGGAAGCAAAGCATTTTGAAGCAAAGATTTGTTAGCAACAGACCCCAGGGTTAAATATTTTCCTCCTTGAATTCCTAAGGCAATAATTGAGGCCCAAAATACAGGTTTAAAAAAAACTGTGGAGAAGCATTAAAAAAAAATCATTATTTCATAGATTCTAGGGCTGGAAGGGACCTCGAGAGGTCATCGAGTCCAGTCCCCTGCCCTCATGGCAGGACCAAATACTGTCTACACCATCCCTGATAGACATTTATCTAACCTACTCTTAAATATCTCCAGAGATGGAGATTCCACAACCTCCCTAGGCAATTTATTCCAGTGTTTAACCACCCTGACAGTTAGGAACTTTTTCCTAATGTCCAACCTAAACCTCCCTTGCTTCAGTTTAAGCCCATTGCTTCTTGTTCTATCCTTAGAGGCTAAGATGAACAAGTTTTCTCCCTCCTCCTTATGACACCCTTTTAGATACCTGAAAGCTACTATCATGTCCCCTCTCAGTCTTCTCTTTGCCAGACTAAACAAACCCAATTCTTTCAGCCTTCCTTCATAGGTCATGTTCTCTAGACCCTTAATCATTCTTGTTGCTCTTCTCTGACCCTCTCCAATTTCTCTACATTTTTCTTGAAATGCGGTGCCCAGAACTGGACACAATATTCCAGCTGAGGCCTAACCAGCGCAGAGAAGAGCGGAGGAATGACTTCTCATGTCTTGCTCACAACACACCTGTTAATGCATCCCAGAATCATGTTTGCTTTTTTTGCAACAGCATCACACTGTTGACTCATATTTAGCTTGTGATCCACTATAACCCCTAGATCTCTTTCTGCCGTACTCCTTCCTAGACAGTCTCTTCCCATTCTGTATGTGTGAAACTGATTATTCCTTCCTAAGTGGAGCACTTTGCATTTGTCTTTATTAAACTTCATCCTGTTTACCTCAAGTATCAGGGGGTAACCGTGTTAGTCTGTATCTACAAAAACAACCACGCGTCTGGTGGCACCTTACACTCTCACATATTTATTTGGGCATAAGCTTTCGTGGGTAAACACCTCTCTTCTTCGGATGCATGGGGTGGAAGTGGGA